CCAAAGTGCTGGGATTACAGGTGAGAGCCACCACACCCAGCCCTTCCGCTTCTTTGAAAAAACAGTCTGGTATTTTACAAGTTTGATCAATAAATTATTAACTAATTTTATAATTTTTTTCTTTTGAGACAGAGTTTCACTCTTGTTACCCAGGCTGGAGTGCAATGGCGCGATCTCGGCTCACTGCAACCTCCGCCTCCTGGGTTCAAGCAATTCTCCTGCCTCAGCCTCCCGAGTAGCTGGGATTACAGGCACGCGCCACCAGGCCCAGCTAATTTTTGTATTTTTAATAGAGACGGGGTTTCACCTTGTTGACCAGGATAGTCTCGATCTCTTGACTTTGTGATCCACCCACCTCGGCCTCCCAAAGTGCTGGGATTACAGGTGTGAGCAACCACACCTGGCAAATTTTATAATTTTTTTTAAAAAAGAAAGAAAACAAAACTTTGATTTTCTGGAAGTTTCTTATGCTCACAGGCACCCCACCCTCAACCTGCTCAGAACAAAAACAAAACCAGACTGGCTGGTTTCTTTGCAGAGCACTCGGCGGTTTGGGCACTGTACAGACTGAATCTCTGCAGCAGGGTCCCCTTCAGACCTGTTCTCTGAATGAGGACCTGGTCCTGGGAGCCTCAGTTCTCCACACAACATCCTGGAGTCACACAATGCGAGGCCCAAACACGAAGCCTCCTCCAGGTGTTGACACATCTTTCAGGCTCTTGCTGGGGACCCAGCCCTGCCACCAAAGGCAGAAATGAGATGAGTGCTTTCTACGGCATGACTTTTGTTTAGCTTGAGACCTGTGAGGGGGGAGGGGCGAGGGGCGAGGGCCCACTCTCTAAATCCCCGCTCCAATGTGCAGCCTGCCGAGCTGCACACAGACATGACAGGGGATTGTAGAAATGCGCCACAGACAATGTAGCTAATGGACCAGGGTCCCCTGCACCGGAGCCCAAGGGCGTGTCAGGAAGTGACTCGGGGACACCAGGACCCGAACAGAGCACCCTAAAAGTAACTGCGTTTCTGAGCACTGATCCACTTCCTCCATTGATCCCCGTCTCCAAAGAGAAAGGAAGACAGAACAGGGAAAAGCAAAAAAAAAGAAGACTGGACTCTGACTATAGCCCTAGAATAGCCTGTAAGCAATTCAGGCAGAATTTCTTTACACAATGGATGAGAGAAATATGAACCAGGCTGCCAGACTCAGCAGGACAAGCAAGTCCTGTGTATTCAGCTCGAGAGGAGCCTGGACACATTTCAGAGAGAGCAGAGACTCCGAAGACTGAGGCGCTGACTCCTCTCCCGGGCTGACAGTCATCAAATACAAGTTAATTTGCAGCTAATGAGATAGCACTAAGGATGGATAGAAGTGGAACTTTCCCCAGCCCATCTGGAATCTTTTTTTTGGGGGGGGGGAGCGACAAAGCCTCACTCTGTGGCCCATGCTAGAGTGCTGTAGCAGGATCTTGCCCACTGCAATCTCCACCTCCTGTCTTCAAGCGATTCTCCTGCCTCAGCCTCCTGAGTAGCTGGGATTACAAGCATGTCCCATCACCTCTGGCTAGTTTTTGTATTTTTAGTAGAAACAGGATTTCCCCATGTTGCCCAGGTTGGTCTCAAACCCCTGACCTCAGGTGATCCACCTGCCTCAGCCTCCCAAAGTGTTAGGATTAGGCATGAGCCACCGCACCCCGCCCCCATCTGGAATATTTAATGGGCTACTCTCCCTTCAGGCTTTTCAAATACCCTGGTCAAAATTATGGGCCAGTTGTGGTGGCTCACGTCTGTAATCCCAGCACTTTGGGAGGCCGAAATGAGCGGATCACTTGAGACCAGGGGTTTGAGACCAGCCTGGCCAATGTGGTGAAACTCCATCTCTACTAAAGATACAAAAATTAGCCGGGCATGGCAGTGAATGCCAGTAATCCCAGCTATGCTGGAAGCTGAGGCACAAGAATTGCTTGAACCCAGGAGGCGGAGGTTGCAGTGAGCCAAGATTGTGCCACTGCACTCCAGCCTGGGCAACACAGTGAGACTCCATCTCACGCACACACACATACAAAATGTGGCTGGGGATGCAAAGACTCTTTTCCTCAGACAAGTTGTTCTTAAAAGAAAATCTCCAGTGACTCTTGGAGAGTATCTCGTCTAATTACACAGATAAGAAGCCTACTGCCAGAGAAATCAGTTAGCTTCACATCGTTCTGTCACCTGGCAGCACAGCCAAGAACAAAGCCCTCCAGACTCCTGGGACAGCAGTTCACAAAATGTTCAAATGATCAATGAGTGTCTCAGAATTCCAGGGTTTTCTCCTTCCTGGGTTCTTTGCAAGGGATAGGACAAGTCAAATCCAAATCTGCTTGAGCTAGATGGTACAAAGAAAAATAAAGACGTTTTCCAGAAGTCTGCTTGATTTTCACGGGCAAAGAGTGTTGGCGTGTTGCTCTGCTGATTGAGATGACAGCTAGAATTTTTGTGCTGTGGATAAAATTATAGGCCATTGTCGAAATGTTTTCTTTTGGTCTTTTAATCTCTCCTTAGCTTGGAAATCGCAGAAGACTCACCAATGTCCTCTGTCCAGGCAAGACCACAAAAATGGCTCTAGTCTCTAGGGGTGGATTTGGGGTTGGGGATGTGGACAAGGGAATGGAACAAGAGAAAATGGAGTAATAATGCCTTTCCATCTCCAAAATGTAATTTACCATGAAGAGGAAAACATCCAAGACAGGCAAGGGATTGCACTGGCATTTGCAGGTTTGAATTTGGGGAACAGGTGTTTCACCAAACTTGAGTCACATATGCGGTACCTGGAAATAATCTACTCCTTTACACACTTCCAAACTTATGAAATACCAAAATGAAGTCTTGTGATGAGGAGTACTCTTTAAAATCAAGTTTAAGACCTTAGAAAGGTTTAGAAAGCAAACACTGATCTCAGAAGGCGAGCTCTGGGTAACCCTAGTTCCATCACAACCTGTCTGCTTAGGGACTAACCCAGAGGCCCAGTGAGAAACTCACCACAGTTTACGCAGTTCATTTTAAAGGGGAACAACAATGTAAATGTCACAAAGTAAGAATGACATCACTGGAGTCTTGATTTCTCTATTTCCTGATCTGCTTTTAAAAAAATGTTTAAAAAAAAACAAAGGTCAACTTAGACACGTGGGTATTTGTTGAATAAATGAAAAAGTGCTTAAATCCAAAAGCATTATAGACGAGTTTACAAACAGCAAAACTCTTCAATTCCTATGTAATTTTTTTCTATTATGTTGGCTTTTTAAATGTTTTTAAAGAAATAACCCAAATCCTCAGATATTTTCCAAAAAAAGAAAAACCCATATATTTCTCAAATACAAATCCTGTTATTTTTCAAAAAAAAAAAAAACTCACATATTTCTCAAATATTCTCCTACAGATGTGCTAATACAACAATTTCAAAAGTGAAGCAACACAGATTGGAAAGTAGGAATACAATTTACTAAAAAATATTTTAGCAATATTTTAGATCTGCAATCTTGTTCTACTTTTCTAGATTAAACCCTCTTTAGTATTGCTCTTCTACTGTGTCTTTTATTTTTGAAAAAAAGAACAAAACCATTCTGGCCATGAAAATACATAATATTCTAAAGAAGAAAGTGAGTTGGCCGGGCGCGGTGGCTCACTCCTGTTATCCCAGCACTTTGGGAGACCGAGGCAGGTGGATCATTTGAAGTCAGGAGTTCCAGACCAACCTGGCTGACATGGTGAAACCCCACCTCTACCAAAAATGCAAAAGTTAGCTGGGAGTGGTGGCAGGCACCTGTAGTCCCAGCTATTTGAGAGGCTGAGGCAGGAGAATCGCTTGAACCCAGGATGTAGAGGGTGCAGTAAGCCAAGGTCGCGCCACTGCACTTCAGCCTGGGGGACAGAGCCAGACTCCATCTCAAAGAAAAAAAAAAAGAGAAACTAAATCACTGTTATCATATATATATATATATATATATATTTATTTATATTTTAAAGCTGTTGCATCATCAGCTAGAAACATCTTAGAAGGTTCAATCAATGCCCACAACAATGAAATGACATTTCTTTGAAGAAGGAATGGGATGAAATGTACCTAAAACAGAACAAAACGTAGCTGAGGTATTATGGGATTTTCCACGTGTCCCCCGCCCCTTGTCCAGCCCTAAGAATGTCAAGAATTTGAACTCCCTGTTCTTAAGGTGAAAGGGCATGAACTCAAATCTGTTCATGAAGCAAAGCGGTGGCAAACTTTGAGACATTGGGACTGCATGCCAAAACCTCCCAAGTTTACCAGGGCCAGCAGCGATTCTTTCCTTTCGTGTTTTCAAAAGTAATTAGAAACAACGTTCAAGTGGTAAGTCATTAATGAGGAGCCAGAGAGAGCTCCATTTGCATCTCAGCAATGCTCTACCTTTATTTCAACATCTAGCTTTAGGTTTAAAATATTTGCTAAGATAGAGCAGAGACGATTAACAGAGACACATTCCGTGGACAGGGAAAGAAAACTACACAGCAGAAGTTACAAGATGGTTATTTTGTGTTTTGAAAACATTCCAATAATCCCTTCACTGTGGTGCTATTCGGTTAAACAGTGGAAAAGCAAAACAGAAATGAACACGAGAGCAGCCGGCTCGTTTCCATCTCAAAGGGAACCTCGAGGAACCCATCAGCTGCAGTTTGTGCCTGTGAATCTCAGCGTGGAAATTTTCCCACTCCTCCTTTGAGGGCAGGAGGAGAGCAGGAAGGCACGCTGCCACTCACTAGGGGACCCCAGATGTCACTCCATCCCCAGGATAAATTCCTCCAGACCGCGTGTAGAACTCCACATACCCCATTTCCCCCAAAATAGACGTTGACCCTCTGGGGTTAACATCAGCTCCTAGTGAATCACTTAACATGTCTGGTTGCTGTTTCTTTAACTCCTTTCTCTGAAAACAGCTAGAGCTACCAGATTCTAGAAGAGCTCGGCCACCATGTGGATACGATGTCATTTTGTTGTTTTAAAATATTTTAACTTTATTATTATTCTTATAATATTATTCCAACAGACTGTATTCAAGGCAGTGATCACTAACACAGAACACGACAGGGCGGATGGCAGCCGGGCTGCTTGGAAGACGTGGCCGGTCCGGCCGGGGTCGCTGACATGCACGTCGGTAGCTCATACACTGCTACCATCAGCACAGGCTGCGGGGACAGGGACAAGACAGATGCCGCGGACTCTAGAAGCTATTTAATAAATATCATCCAAAAGCAAAACGGAAAAGAAACAAGAAACCCTCCGAGCACAACCACCTTAGGCCAACTGAATGTCATCTAGTTTATTCAACCAAAAATTGAGAGAGAAGGAAGTATTGAAACAAACAAATGAAAGAAAGCAGTTCTTAAGACTAGCAGTAAATAAATTTGTACAATTCAGTCTGTATAATATGATGAAATAAATCTACATCTTTTCTTATTTTGGTGCTTTGAATTATACATACAAACAACAATTACAGGGACTTGTTCACAAAGCATGTAGGCCTAGAAAAGGGCTCTCTGAAACCCTCAATGGCAATTGGTGAATGGTAACACTGATTGCCCAGAACTGGTATCTCCTTTGCAGAGGCCAACAGCTTTGAACGAATGATTCGCCTACAACTTTTTTCTTTTTTTTTCTTTTTTCTTTTTTTTTTTTTTTCTTTTAATGCATCAAACAACTGTGGCCAGTGACAGGAAAGAAAACTGGCAGTTTGTCCATTTGGATATCAGACCTAGCTTCTTCTTAATTTCCACACTCTGTTTCCCCCATGTTCCTTAAACTTCTTGGCATCCTTCATGCCCTACAGCTACCCAGATGCAATAAAGTCTTCCTCAAATGTACAGTATTTCTTACAATATAAGTTATATGCAATGTTCAGCATTTTTTTCACAGCACTAGAGACCCTGTTAAATAGGGGATATGAGTCAGAATGGCTTATTCACAGATGGGGTCCAGATTCAGTGGTTGGAACACAGACACCACAGTGAGCTCCTTTGCAAAGTGGCAAACATAATTTCGCTTTCTGCCTTCAAAAACATGTATCCATCGCGTTTAGGCTTCATGATTCTGCTCCTGCAAAAATGCAAGTCGAAGTGGGCTGCAGGGACTCTCTCTGGGGGCCCTGTGAGCCTCAAGCAGGGCTCTAACCCATGGCGGTAACCATACTGGAGGGATGGTGAGGTCCGAAGGACAGGCTGGATGGCGGGTGCATCGGCGTGGGCGTGGTCAGCATGTGGCTGGAGTGGCTGAAGGGTGAGATGTGGCTCAGGGAGGACATGTGTCTGGAGAGGGCAGCTGGGTTGAACGAGCTGTTCTTGGGGAAGTCCTCCAGCGAATCATGCACTTTTTTGCACTTTTTGGATTTGCTAGACATTTTTCGGTTTCTGGTCTGGATGCCTTCCTTCTTCATAGTCAGGGGTCTGTTAATCTAAACAAAGATCAATTTTTTTTTTTTTTTTTTACTTTTTTCTGCCTCTGAAATGCACAGGCTCTCGTACACCGACACGGGTTCCACTGGGGGCCCCGATCGGGGATCTGTTTCCATTTCAGCCAGCCCCTTCCTCCCTCGCACCTTCTCCTGTCTCTTTCCCAGGGACTGAAGAACTAAAACACGTGCAGTTACCAGATTAGAGACCCACCTAGTATGATTGTATGTCTGGTAATGAAAATAGAATTCACTTGTCTTACTTTTGTAGAACTTCCTTAGACTATTTCATAAGAATGGAGGTAGTGAAGAATCTTCAAGAGGGAAATACCATTTTGTCTGCTCTGATGAATCTGCTTTAGAACTTGAGAAGCACTGCCCAGGTCATCCACCTCTAGGTGTTTAAGGCTGTCTGCCTTGAAGAAATGAGAACTGTACTGCTCTACTGAGTGATTCTTGGTTGCCCCTCTTCTACCTGGCCTTTGAAAGATGCCATAAAATCTTCCCCTAGAATGTATACGTAGCAGGGTTGTAGGTTACGAAACCATGCCTTTCTTTTTTTTTTTTTTTTTTTTTTTGTGTTTTGAGACGGAGT